CAATTTGCAATTCTAGATATCTAATTAAATTAAAAATGCCTTTACCAGTATTGGCTAGAAAAATGCAAAAATTAGCCTCCCAACAATTACACCAACTTAAACAGCTTTTAACAGGCAGAGGATTTATAAAATTTAAACGGTTGTATAAAATAAAAGGAGAACTTGGACAAGGAGGGTTTGGGATTGTTTACAAAGGTGTTAGATTGGTAAGGAATTTTTCTGAATAAAAAATTTAACTAAAAATTTCGAATCTGTCCCTTCGACCTCTATTTTAAAATTAATTTACGGATTAACCGGCTCTATCTGAAAGGAGTGCCTGGTTGAGTTTTTTTCTTACTTTTGATAGACTTCCTTAAAATGGTCTTTTTTTATTTTTTTAACTTCTGTTGATGTTTGCTCTATGGAAAAATGGGAGAAAAGGATTATATTTTACACACAAATTTTGTGAGCATTTACTTTTCTGTCCGATGTGTGTGCGTGTTTTGTCAGTCTGTCCGAGTTCGTCCGTGTTTTGTCAGTCTGTCCGAGTTCGTCCGTGTTTTGTCAGTCTGTCCGAGTTCGTCCGTGTTTTGTCAGTCTGTCCGAGTTCGTCCGTGTTTTGTCAGTCTGTCCGAGTTCGTCCGTGTTTTGTCAGTCTGTCCGAGTTCGTCCGTGTTTTGTCAGTCTGTCCGAGTTCGTCCGTGTTTTGTCAGTCTGTCCGAGTTCGTCCGTGTTTTGTCAGTCTGTCCGAGTTCGTCCGTGTTTTGTCAGTCTGTCCGAGTTCGTCCGTGTTTTGTCAGTCTGTCCGAGTTCGTCCGTGTTTTGTCAGTCTGTCCGAGTTCGTCCGTGTTTTGTCAGTCTGTCCGAGTTCGTCCGTGTTTTGTCAGTCTGTCCGAGTTCGTCCGTGTTTTGTCAGTCTGTCCGAGTTCGTCCGTGTTTTGTCAGTCTGTCCGAGTTCGTCCGTGTTTTGTCAGTCTGTCCGAGTTCGTCCGTGTTTTGTCAGTCTGTCCGAGTTCGTCCGTGTTTTGTCAGTCTGTCCGAGTTCGTCCGTGTTTTGTCAGTCTGTCCGAGTTCGTCCGTGTTTTGTCAGTCTGTCCGAGTTCGTCCGTGTTTTGTCAGTCTGTCCGAGTTCGTCCGTGTTTTGTCAGTCTGTCCGAGTTCGTCCGTGTTTTGTCAGTCTGTCCGAGTTCGTCCGTGTTTTGTCAGTCTGTCCGAGTTTGTCCGTCTTTTGGCTGTCTGTCCGATGTGTGTGCGTGTTTTGTCTGTCTGAGTTTACACATTTTTACCTTACAACAAATATCAAATATAAATGAAAATTGACCATTCTAATTAAGTCTATCAAAAGTAAGGAAAAAACTCAACCAGGCACTCCTTTCAGATACGGTCGATTAACCTATAAACTCAAAATATGATAAAAATAAAAGTTTAAAAATAAATATGTTTTTTAAATAGTCTGATATGTTGCCTGTAGCTGTCAAATTCATCGAACGTCGGCATGTCCGTGAATGGGGTCGTTTGGCAGAACAACGGGTTCCCATGGAAATTTGGTTTGAATTTAAAGATCATTTAAATCTATTACAGTAAACCTTATTCTAAGATACTCACGGGCCGTTGTGTCATTAAGTTGAGGGTATTGCTTAGGCAGCAAGGCTGGGCTAATTTTGCATTTCGCGTTTCGTCCGGCCCTGTTAGGCAGCTTCCCTAACCCAAATTCCAAGAAATTTTAAAGAAAAACGAATCTTAAATAGAAGTTTTGAGTAGAAATCAAACCGAAATCAGGTCTCGAACAAAAATCTCGGTTAACAAAATCGCATTTTGCAAAATATCGATCTAGATTCTTGTACAACCCTCCCATTCCTACCTCTAGTATTCTTGTATCTATTTTAAAAATTCTGCTTCAACTTAATTAAACTCCCTTCTCTTTTTCAGTATGTTAACACGTTGTAATCAACTATCCGGAGTTATAACCTTATTAGACTGGTTTTCATTACCAGAAGGCTATCTACTAGTTATGGAAAGGCCAACTCCCTGTATAGATTTATTCGATTTTATTCAACAACAAAAATATTTGGACGAATCCTTGGCCAAATATTTATTTTCCCAAATTGTAAAAACTATATTAGATTGTTCAAAATTGTTGGTATTACATAGAGATATTAAAGACGAAAATATTTTGTTGGAATTAAATACTGGGAGAATTAAATTAATTGATTTTGGGGCTGCTACGTTGTTAAAGAAAAGTCGTTATCAAGACTTTCAAAGTACAAGGCTTTATTGCCCGCCAGGTAGTTGATTTTGTGATAAATAATAGAGTAAGGGTTAAGAAAGGCCATAGGGCAGGAATATGTGACATTCTGGGCCAGTATCATAAGAACTTGGTTCATGGTTGTTTAACCCTTACCGAGCGGTAAAATTGGTATCATAAGAAGGGTAAGTCGTGGTAAGCAAGAAGAAAAATACCAGACGCTCGTATGATACGAAAATACCTTTGGATTGGGGTTAAATGACCTGGTTAAATGACCAAATTCTTATGATTCCATTTTAACAACTTGCTCTTAAGATACTGGCCCTGGTAATTATTGCTTGGGAAACAAATTGAAAGAATGAAAATAAGCGTCAAAAAGTCTACATAAATTAATTAAAATATTTACATACAGAGTGGTTTCTCCATTCTCTCTATTTGGGACAAGAAGCAACAGTATGGTCATTAGGTGTATTGCTTTATAATATGTTGAATGGAAGGCTACCTTTTCTAAATGAGAGGGATATTTGTACTTCACATTTACTTGGACCTTTACCTTTTTATGTGCCCGTTTCTAGAGGTATAGAAGTTTTAAATAATATTTGGAGTGAAGGGGACATTTAATTCCTTGATCAATTTTACGAGGTTGGCGGGTGTAGGATTTAAGAAGCATAGCTAAATTGAATATATAGCGAAGGAAATATGAAACAGATTGTGTGTGAGGGGGATTTCATTGACCTCATTATTCTCTCCCTTGTGGGTGTGAGAGGGGTCTAGGGTGACTACACCCCAACTTACCGCGAGCCCAACTTACCGCGCAGCTATAACTTCTTTCAGAATTATCGAATCTGGGACGCCCTGATATGGTGCGATGCTCCTCGACGAGCTGAATCGAACCATACCAAAGCGTCCCGGATTCGAGAATTCTTAATGAAGTTATAGCTGCGCGGTAAGTTGGGCTCTCAGTAAGTTGGCCTGCTCCCTCTAGGGTGTAGAGAAAATAAATTGAAAGGGGATATGAAATGAAGAAAAATAGTGGAGGAGAAGGGGGAAGTATAGAAGTGGATTGGATCTTAAATTTATCTTTTAAACTTCAGAAGCTCGCGAATTATTAACTCAATGTCTCAATTTCGACCCATTTTCACGTCCAACATTAGAACAATTATTAACACATCCATGGCTCACCAAAACGGAAATAGAATGGAATAAATTAAATGAACATTATAGAAATGGGGAGGATGAATATTTTGAAGACGAAGAAAATATAAAACATTTGAATGAATCTGGATTGGCTAGTGAAGAATATTCCTATAATAGTAAGGGAAGGGAAGAGGGTAAATCACACAAAATGTTTGGTGGTTGTTACAGTATGGCTCTACATGGTAGGGATTTTTTGTGGATTTGCAGAACTCCCCTTTGCTGTTAATGATAAAGATTGAGTGAAGGGAACATTGTGTATAGGGGGTAGGGAGTAAAACTGGTAATAAACAATAGTGTTGCGCCGGAGGTTCCGGCAGGCCGGAAGTTACGGGATTTTTTGGTCAAGTAACTGGTTTTAGACAGGTTTAACCAACCCTAATTAAAAGAAGACATACATAGATCACAAAGAACCTAGAGTTAAGGGGGAGGAATCTAGATGTCCCTTATATCGAGATTCTGTTACTCATTTTAGCCTATATTTAAGTCACTTCTTAATCTCTTTAATTTTCTAGTTAATGCAATACCCAAAATATGGGCTCAAAATTCATCCCTAACCAACAACAGACGGAATGCCTTAACAGCACACTTTGGATGTCAAAAACACCGAAAAGAAGATGAAAGTGAAGAAACCCCTCCCTACAGTATTCTACGCCCAGGACTACGGCAATTCGAGCTTTCCCCTCACAAACAAGAAGAAACGGAAGCTGGGGGTTCTGTGGACTCTGGTACTTCCTCAGCTCTACATTCACCGAGAATTATGCTAAATAATCCTAAATTTTGATTTATAAATTTATTTTATAAACCTATATTAATTTAATTATTTTATTGTACATGTATGTAAATAATTTAAATATAATATTTTATACTTCGGCCACCCCACCCCGCTAGCAAAAACAAATCAAAAAACCTAACTCCGAATTAACATATCACAGTCTCAAATTAGACCCTAAAGACGCTTAAAAAATTTTAAAAAGGCTGTTTAGACTCTAATGTCTTTTTTGTTTCGAAAAAGTAAAAGGGAGAGAGTATAGACATGACAGTTAAAGAGAAAATAAAAATTGGAAACAGTCCATTTTGCCGTAAATCCTATCGCAGATTTAGTACTTTTGAAATAATATGAGATATTTCACATATTGAAGGTATTATTCGATAACATAAATCGAAAAAAATTTTTAATAACGATAGTCATCAGTTAATATTGACGGAACTCGACAAGTTAAGTTTTGCGATAAAATGTTTCGCGACAAAGTGGCTTAATTTAGTATAAATGACAGAGAAATAAATTATTAATTTAATACACTATTTCTTTAATTTTTTCTCTATTTTTAGTCTTAAATTGTGTTTTTTGTAAATTAGAGTACACAAAACATTTTTATTTTTTTGTGAATGTTTAGTTGAAAAAATGAATTTTTGTGGAATTTTTATTACCTATTTTGTGATCGAGCTGGGTCTGATCTGGGTTTTTCCTGTACCCAGAGTCCAGATCCAGGCATTTTTTTGACCTTCATTGGGTTTTTCCTGGGCCTGGGCTTTTCCTGGACTACAGGCCTAGGAAACAGGTCCAGGTCAAGAAATCAAATCCAGAGTCCAGGAACAGGCCCATGCTTTTCAAAAATCTCAATCACTATTACCGATTTTGTGAATCTGTCTCCTGTTTTCTTCTTTTTTTTTTTATTTTTTTTGAATTTTCAACGTATTTAAATTAATTTAACAATTCTCTTTTTTTTCTAATTTAGGATGACACAAGTTGAATATAATTTAAATTATTTTATTGAACAAGTTAGAGAAGAAGTAGACGACAAAGGTTTACTTTCCTCTTTTAATTATTAACTTTTTATTTTTAAATAACAGATCTAGTTGGAGATTTATTATATGAAGAACCGAGAGAATCTCGTTACGAAGAATGTTGTATTATGGTTTTTAATATTCCGACGGTTGGAGAGGACAGGCTTGAAAAATTGAAGAAAGTTTTGTCTGGAGTGTTTTCTTTGCAGAATATGTACAAATTTAATGATTTTTATCCGCTTAATGATGAAGGAAAGACTAAGGTTTTTTTGACTTAAAAAAAAATTTTTTTTTGATTGACTTTTAGGGAAGCCTTAAGTGCTTTAGGTGTCCCTTTATTTAGTCCTCAGTGTCTTACTTTGTTTTACTATAACATAAGTATAGGGTTTGGGCCCGAGACGGCGGTCCGAAAGATAGAATTTGACATTGAATTTTGGCCCGAAAAAGACTCGGTAGGGGTGGCCCGATAAAATGAGGCCAGAAAGAAATTACTTGAACGTTGGCCCGACTTGAAAGCCTAACCCTATTTATTTAATTATATTAAGTAAGTTATTTTGGGAATATCTGGCTCCACGTTTATAAAAAGGTTCGGTTTCTCTTGGCAGTTCTAATTTAATCGTTCAGAGCTTCTTTTCTGTTTAAATCTTGGGGATGCTTCACCTTTTTGTTATTTAGACAGGTTTTCGAACTCGTGTTAATCTTCTCTTCTCTTAGACCCGTGATTCCCTTTACCTTCCTTCGCTAACCGGGTAATTCTTGAGATTTTTTGGTCGAGATCTGTTACAGAATTACATTTCTCCTTCAGACATTTTATCGATTCCCCATTGCTTTAATATTCTTTTCTCTCCCGTATACTTTTTAAAATCACATTTTTCCAATTTCCTGTTATTCCCCATATTTTCAGGTTGGCTTTTACTTTAATAGACCTAAGGAATTTTTTTCAGTTAAAATTTTATTTTCAATTTTTAGGGTTATGTTTTTCTCGAATATGAAAATAAAGAAGCTGCAAATGCTGTTAGATCAATTTGTGAGGGTTACAAGCTTGATAAGAACCACACTTTTTCGTCTTACCCGTTTTCTGCTTTGAGGGATTTGAAAGAGCCTAGTGCTAATTGGAAAGTTCCGGAGAAGCGTTCTTATGTTGATTTGGTTGGGTTTTTAAGTACAATTGCATTATCTCCCCCTAACGTCCGCAAATTTGTTTGACCTTTCTCTTCCTTCTTTTCCCTCTAAATGATTAAAAAATGATTTCCTTCTTATAAAGACTAGAGATCGGCCTGGGTTTGGACCAAGGCTTGGGTTTTTCCTGTACCCAAAGTCCAGGCCCGTCATTTTTGACCTATCTGGGTTTTTCATGGACCTGGGTTTTTTCTGGACTAAAGGCCCAGGATCCGGCCCAGGTCAATAAATCAAACCCAGAGTATAGGAACAGGTCCAGGCTTTTCAAAAATTCAGATCTCATATAAAAACTCATTTAAATCATTCTTTAACTATTTTTCAATCATTATGAGAGGAGAAAGAAGGAAGAAAAAGGCAAAAAACTTGCGGACAAACATTTGCGGACGTTGAGGGGCGGGTGATTCGATAGTGCTGTTTTTTGTATTTTTAAATTAAATTTATATTTAAGGGTGATCGTTGGTGGTGGCTTCAAAATACAAAATGCCTCGATCAATTTGCTATACAATATGAAGATGATGGGGGTCTTCAACTTGAAGTTTTTACACACGCTAAAAATGGGGATCCAATACTTGTTCAACAGAGAACGGTTTTTTTCTTTAAAAAAATTTTTTTTAATTCCAAAAAATTCAGAATTGGTCAGAAGACAGTATTTTCAAATGGACCCCTCATGGTTCGTATTTGGCATCTCTTCATACAAGAGGGGTTATTCTTTGGGGAGGAAAGGAATTTAAACAATTTCAACGTTTTGAACATGGAGGGGTTAAACATATTGAATTTTCTCCGAAAGAAGGGTATAGTTTTAACAAATTTTGTTTTATTGATATTTCTTTGAATAACGAAAAAACGAAAACAAGTAAAAGGGAAGTATTTTGGGCACAACATTTACGAATACTAGGAAACAAAAGTTGTTGGGAATTTACCAAAAAGTCTCTTGCCTGACTTGTGGGGGTTTTGTGAACCATAATTGTTAGTGACCAAAGGTGGACCAGTTTTTTGGTGTTCACGTTCGCCGTTTCATTTTTAAAATCATTTTCAGCACACTCCAGGTAGGGATCACGTGGTTATAGAGTCCTTTAAGTTTTATTTTTTGTATCAAATGTACAAAAAAGCCTATTTTGCCATTGACAATTTTGTTTTCTGGTAAGGGTGTATGGGGTGGCTGAAGCCTCCCGCCCCTCCCATAAATTGGGGAAATTAAGAGAAGAATGATCAAAAAAGTGTTCTTTCCTTTTACTTGTTTCGTTTTTTTTAATTTTTTTTTAATTCGTTTTCCCAAATATAAAATTATTTTTTAACAGGTATTTGGTCACATATGCTTGTAACACAAATGGCCGTGATAATGAAATGTTTAAAATATTTGATGCATTTACTGGAGAATTAAAAAGAACATTTTCTCCATTTGGAAAAATGTCATCATCAACAACAACAAATAAACAATTAAATTTGCCTTTTGTTAAATGGTCTTTTGATGAAAAATATTTTGCTTATTCTAGAGCTTCAAGTGAATGTTTAAATGTTTTTAGTTGTGAAGATTTTAAATTATGCGATGGAAAAACTGTTGAATTGGAAGGATTGGTTAATTTTAGTTTTAATTCGACAAAGAATATTATTGCTTATTATTGTGAAGAAAAGGTTTGGAATTTTTTTTTTGAAAAATTTTTTGGGAGCTGGTCTGCCTAATTTGGTTGATTCTAGATATTCGGCGGGGTGGTCGTAACTTGAAAAATAGTCAAAGCGATTTTGGTGTTACTCGATACACCCCGCCGAATGAGTAGAATCAACCAAATTAGAGGAAGTCTAACTCCCAATAATTTTAATTAAAATTCTGTAACTTTAGAGTCGCTGTGGATTGGGATGGGACGGGTTGAGAGAAAAGTCGGGTCTTCAAAATTGTGTTTGGATCGGGTCGGAAAAAAGCCTCGGTTTTAGGTAGCTTGTTTCCCTGCTGTGAATTGGGAGTAGAGACTAGACCGAGACGAAATCTCGAACAAAAATCTCGGTTATCGAGATCGATATTTTTTCTAATTAGGAATTTTCGTTTTTAGTCTCGGTCACTAAATTCCTGGCCAGCTTTCTCTTGCCAATTTTTATTCTCAAATCGGTTCTACAATCATGAGTAGAAATTTATAAACAGAATTCCTCAAAACTATTTTTAAATTTTATAAGAATCCAGTAAATTTAATTGGGATCAATTGTCTCATTTTCTCAAATTTTTCTTTTCTAGTCAAATGCTACTAATAGGCCAGCAGAAATTGGAATAATGGAAATTCCTTCACGTACCAAACTTCGAGCACAAAGAATTTTTGGAGTTTTTCAAGTAAATATTTTTTGGCAAAAGAGTGGATTATATTTGGCTGCACACACTGAACGTTATCAAAAAATGGTTAAAAATAAGGAAGATGTTAATAAACCTGCAGAAATAAAATATTCGGTTTGGATTTTTTGGGGGAATTATTTAAAAAAAAGTCTGGATTCCAAGACGTCTCTAAATTTTTAGACCTCTTTTTTTTTAAATTTGTGGGGACTTGTCTAGGCTGATCATCCAATTTTTTCTTTTCTCCTCTTTCCTCCAAAAATATGAAAGCAAAATTAATTAAACCTTCAAATCCTCTATGTATATTTTTTTGTTTATTTTATATTTTTAGGGTGTAACATCCCATTTAGAAATTTTTGATTGTACTGAAAAAACAATTTCTGTGTTGACATTACAACTGCCCGAACCTTTTTTAAATTTTGATTGGGAACCTAAAGGTTTTTGTTTTTATTTTATAAATTTGTTAGGAAATAAATCCTAGAAATAGTTTTTCTTGGAACTCCGGGTGAGAGGTCAGCCTGTTGTGCTAGAAAGGAAACGGCCTTCCTTCCTAGGAAGGAAAGGCATTCTTGACCTTCCAAAAATAACCAAGAGTATAGAAATGTTTTTTTTTCTAGAAAGCCAACGACCTCACTCACTTTCACAAACGACCACTACATATCTAATTTTTTTATTCAAAATTTTAAAAAATTAAAAGTATTTCGTTTTTCAATTTTCAGGAAATAAATTTTGTGTTCTAGTCGGTTCAACTTCACCAAAAATAACTCCATTAATTTATCGTTATGACAAAGGCAAACCTGCCCCCCAACTTTTATCAAAAATTGAATCTGGAACGAATTTAAATTCAATATCTTGGGCCCCTCAAGGTGGCTGGTTAATTGTTTATGGGGCAAGTACTCCTGGAGGTTTAGTTTATTTTATTGATGCTAGTGGGACGACAGAAGCTAATAGAATTCGGTCAATTGAACATCCATCGTTAACAAAGGTTTGTTTATTGTTGTTGGGAGGGGGGATTGGATTTTTCTATCTCTTCTTTTTGGTAATCCAGGTTAGAAGAAAGATTTTACTAAAATTTTTAATTATGTGGCGAAAAGGAAGATCCAGCTGGCTTGTTAGTATTTAAAAGTCTTCTAGGTGGGGTTTAGGATCTATATTAAAAGAAAAGTGAAATCCCCATGGTATCTCAGTTATTGTGTAAAAGCGGCTGTTAATAACTTGCAAGAAGGTCGGCTTCCCCTTTTATAAATTTGTTAGGAAATAAGTTTTATGTCCTCGAAATATTTTTTAGAATAAGTTGAATAGACCCCATTAATAACATATTCAGGAACTTCGGGAGAGGGGTCCCTGTGGTCCAAGAAAAAATCAGAACATTTTGGTGTTTAATTTTTGTGTCAATTTTATTTTCGATCATTTTCTGATTTTTTTGTTAAATTCAAATTTAATTTTTTATTTTCTCCATTTTTTCCTTGGATTAGACACTATTTTGTCTTTGCTTTTAATTTTATTTATTCAACCGTTCCTAAAAATCTTTAAATTCTTATTTAACAATTTTTTAAGGCATTTTGGGACCCAACAGGACGTTATTTAGCAATTTGTTCATTTGGAGGCAAAAGTCGTTACGAAACTGGTTATCGAATCTATACATTTCTTGGAAGAGAAATTTTGCGAAAAATTGTTGATTCTTTGTTGCAATTTAGATGGAGACCTCGTCCACCAATTCAATTAAGTGAACAAAAACTTAAAGAAATTAGAAAGACTTTAAAACAAAAATCACAACAATTTGAGGAAGAAGATAAGAGGGAATTACTTAAAGTGTCTAAGGTAAAAAGGAATTTTTTTTGTTTTTGGTATTTGTGTGAAGGAAAATAGTAAACATAAGTTAAGCTTGAGGCCTTTGAGAGTTACTGAGGATAGGCAAACCTCTAGGCTTTTGTTTAAAATCGGATCTAGTCCAATTTGACGTGACGGGCCCATTATCCAGGAGTTTTTTCTTCAAAAATTTATCCGAGTCGGGATTTCCAGGATAGAACCCCGGCAACTTCGAAAAACACAGATTTTATTGAAATACCCTATTTCCGTGCTGTTTGAGCTGGACTGACCATGCATTTAGATTAATTTAAAGTTTTGTCTGTTACGCAAATAATAAGTCACCTTATTATAGGCTTCTGTCTATTCATAGTAATCCTTGAAAAACACAAAATTCCTTCACTAAAAAATTTTTTTCTAGGAAATTATTGAACTTCGTCAAAGTGCATTGGCGTTATTCAAAGAAATTCGACAACGTTCCCAAAATTATGATATTGAAGAAAGAGAAGAAAAATTATTTTTGAGAGGTGGAAAAGATTTGAAAAAGATGGAATTAGATTTGGTAGAAGAAACAATTACAATTGCTTTGAATACAGAAATGGAGGAATTAAAAGAAACAAATACGGCAAAGGAAAGTGATGATATGGATTAATTGGAGAAATTATTTGTTGTTGATGTTTTTTTGGTTTAAAAGAATTCTTTTTGTTGTGTTTATACAAGTATAAATCTATATTTTGGAAAAAATCCATTCAAAAAATAAATTTCCTTTGAATGGATTAGTGCACGAATTTTGTTTGATGGTTTATCGATATAAATCGATTTTTTAATATTTGTAAGAGTGAACGGTGTTGGTTAATGTCCGCATGGATTTCTAGAGACGTCCGAGACTTTTCTTGGGTTTTTCCGGTCTTGGTCTCGAGTAATTGAAAATTTTCAGTCTCGGACGTCTCTAGTATTTCGGTACACCCACAAGCCTACTTCTAACCGAGTCTACCGCTGGCGTTCCTCTTTATTGAACAACTTCATCCGTTAATGGAAATTCTCCTGGTTTGCTTCTCATCAATTTTTCATGAAAATCAATGGATTCGAAATCTCCCATTTCTACCATTGAGATTAGAATACGACATTTTTCAAGTCTAATATTCACAGTTTACCTACCCAAAATCGTTTCTGATAGTTATTCTCTAGCCGTTTCCAGTTCCAAGTTCGAACTACCGAAACAAATTTACGAGACTAAAGGTTAACGAGACTTTCTTGATAAATATATTGAAGTTCCTTTTTGTCTGTAGATGTTTTGAAATTATTGATTGGTAGACACTTTTTTGAATTTAATTTTATAAGCATTGGCATAACGTTATTTAAGAGATAGTTTATAACTAGAGAAATAGAGTTTTTCTTTGTGTGCCTCCTTTTTTCAATTTCATAATCTTTCGTTTTCCCATTTTTGTAAACAACTGCCCAACTTTCTGTCTTGTCATAGGGTTTCAAATCAATAATCTGCGTCTTTGATTGATGGCGTCCTACAACTTTATTCATAACAATTTGATTAATCTTTTATTTTCTTTACATTTTTTAGAGTTCAAAAAATTTCAAAAATTTTTATAAAATTTATTCCTACTCTTCCCTTCAATTTGATATGAATGTATTTTGATGTGTCAAATCTTGTCAGGATTTTGATGTGTCAGCATAAAATGTGCGACCTGCTTGAACAATGGACGAAATATTGATAAAACAATCTACAAGGTTTTTTTTCAATTTTTTTGATTTTGGGTATAGGTTAAGATAAGGTCATTAGAAAAGAGCAGACGTGCTCGTTTGGTGTTTCTGAGGTTTACTAGTAGTCTGGTTTGATGAGTCAATCACGGGTTTAGAAAAACCCTTCAAATGATCCGGGATCCTCCGTTAGGATACACTAGCAATTATGACCAACTAAGATCGAAGAGAAGTGTCAGATTGATCTTTATTGTTGAACTGAAATTGACAGGGTCTAATTTATGTCTGGGACTTGAAATTGTTAAATTCTAAGATCATATTCGGACTCATTACATACACTGACTTCCTAATGGCAAACCTCAAAATATCAAAAAAGCACTGCTCAGTTTTTTCTGTGGACAGGTTCTGGGGGGGGGGGGGGGGGTGGGCTTTTTTGTTCTAGTATTAATGAGTATTATAATAACCGCAGATGTTTTAGTTCGTCTGTTATTATAGCTAGGATAGGAAACGTCGAATAAATCTTCCTCCGGTGAGGGTTCAAAAAGTTACTCGCTGCTTTTAAGTAGACTTGAACCGTTGCAAATCGGCGCAGCGTTTACCCTCTAATTTCATTTTGGGGAAAGTTTTGTGCTAAACTGCTGTCCCATTTTTAGAATAACGTATTCATATGTATGAGTCCCTGGTGGATCCAAAGAAGTAGGGGGCTTCCAAGGCATTCCATGAAAATTGTTTATACGCCCGCAGCTAAAAAAATTTTCAGGGAATTAAAGTTTTTGCCCAATCTTGTATTCAAAAATGATTTTTTTTACTTCTTTTTACTTTTTCAAATTTAGGTAATGATGAGAAAAACTTCAATGCTTTTTACTGTAACTACTCAACATCAACTGCTTTCTCCGCTGCTGTTGTTGTTGTATTTCGCAAGTTTTATTTTTATATTTTCTTGGGTTATGGAAAAATTGAGTAGGGGTTTCCTCTGATTGGTATTAAGAGTTCCAGGTAATAGTGAAGATTACTGGTCCCTAGAAAAAATGAGGAACTGTTTTTTCGATATTTTTGAGGTTTCCCAGTAGGTGGATTGAGTATGGCGAGTTGAATATAAACTAGAATTTTATTTCGAATCCCGGACACAAATTTGGTCAGGTCAAAAGTAGGTTGGAATTCGAAAATTAAGATTGTGGTGCTGACTTGAAAATTATGTTTCGACACCTTTCAACGAAATTCTGTTATTGATTTGTATAGGGGATTTTTATCTTTTATTCCAAACGTGTATTTAATTGAACATGCGTTCGTTTAATGTTGTCGTCACAATTAATTTGGACACCATCCAACTCAACTCTAAGAGATGAGTAAGAACTCCAAGAGTGAGAAGCTTTAGTATCTTAATTTCAGAGTTTTAACCCGAACTCTATTTGGTCGAATTGGGGTCGGATAGCACCTACTGGCAGGCATCAACAATATCAAAAACGTACTTTCTGCTTATTTTTTTATAGGGATCAGTAATTTTCACTATTACCGGTTTCCGCCTAATTTTTTGGACTTACTAACTTCACCGTGATTAGTTTGACATTAGGCAATCAATAGTGCTGAGTGTGAATATGAGTTCAAACTTTCAATCATTAATTGGCAATTAAAAGGTGAAAAAACTCCTCAATTTATTCTAGATGGTTTTTAGCTAATCCAAAATGTGGTAATCTTTTACTTCATTCGTCCTAGAAAAAATTAGGAAAAAGTGCCTGTTCGATCTTTTTGAGGGTTACCAAAAATTTCGAAATTATTTTTATACCATCAGCTAGAGCAAGGTCGATTTCTTATTGCCAGTTTTTTTTCTTTTTCGACCCTACCCATCAAATCAAAAAGTTATAGGTCTTCTAAGTTTTCGACTTTTTGAGCGGTCGAGTCTCCCTCATTTTTCCTATTAAAAAGAAATTTTTCTCTTTCTAAACAGAAAAATGAGACTCCTTTTCCCCCATTTTCCCTTCCTCTTCTTTTCCCATGTTAGTTAAAGAAAGAGAAAAAGAGGAGAGGAAAGAAAAGAGAAAGGCAACACTGCCTTTCTCTTGTTTTTGTTTACAATTCACATTTGGTGAGAAGACTTTTCCTTCCTCTCCTCTTTTTCTCCTTCTTTAACCAACATGGGAAAAGAAGAGGAAGGGAAAAATGGGGAAGAGGAGTCTGATTTTTCTGTTTAGAAAGAGAAATTTCTTTTTAATAGGAGAATGAGGGACTCCCTCATTCTCAGAACAATGAGACTCGGTGAAAGACTCCCTCATTCTCCTTAAATAGGAGAAGGAGGGAGACCGGCTGTACTTTAGCCGGTGGCCCACTCAGAAACGGGACAAATTATATACCATTCGATTCGTCTCGGCAAGCTGAGTCGAATGGTACCATTCTTTTTTTTGCGGAAATGCCTAAGAGCCGAGATATAGGTCCTTGAAAACCGAAAAACCATAGGGGGGAGTAAGCACAATTTCGGGATGAAACATTCAAATATGCAAATGATAGCTCATTCGAAAGAGCTCCTCGAGCTGAGTCGAATGACATCAAAATCAGCGAAATCCGACTTGATTTGGCAAAGTTATGAGCATTAGTTTTAGCTCCTTACGTTTGACTACGTGCATGTTTTTATTGCTGGGGAGGAAGCCAGACATGCCGACCGCAGCTAAAATAGGCATAAGTTTATGTTACGAGCCCAGACCCAGCGCCCGTAGACTCTCCCGCGAGGCGCGTGCCGCAAAACCCCGCGCGAAGCGCGGGGTGCCCCATAGGTTTATGTTGATTGTTTTTTGTATTGTAACTTTGTCTAATCTTGTTCAATTACGGTGATTTTGGTGTCATTCGACTCAGCTCGTCGAGCTCTTTCGAATTAGCTATTATATGTGTAAAAATTTTTTAATTCCAAAAATCGTCCATTTTGATCTTCGGTTTTTGGGGCCTATATCTCGGTCAAATCAAGTCGGATTTCGCTGATTTTGGTGTCATTCGACTCAGCTCGAGTAGCTCTTTCGAATGAGCTATCATTTGCATATTTGAATTTTTCATCCCGAAATTGTGCTTACTCCCCCCTATGGTTTTTCGGTTTTCAAGGACTTATATCTCGGCTCTTAGGCATTTCCGCAAAAAAAGAATGGTACCATTCGACTCAGCTCGCCGAGACGAATCGAATGGTATATAATTTGTCCCGTTTCTGAATGGGCCACCGGCTAAAGTATATCCGGGAGACCGCTCCAAAAGTCGGAAACAAGCCCTATAACAAACGATCATAACTTTGTTCAAACTACTTAGATCGAGTTGATTTTGCTCTCAGTTCGACGAGCTCTTTCGAATGAGCTATCATTCAAAAAATCGAATTTTTCACCCCTATGGTTTTTCGATTTTCGAGGACCTATATCTCGTCCACAGGCATCTCCTTCGACTCAGCTCGTTGAGACGAATCGAATGGTATGGGTCTTATATCGAAACCTTACAAAAAATGGCTCTAATTCTTCCTTTCCTGCACAATACAAAAGATCAAAGGGAAAGGGAGAAAAATTTGAATGTTGACATTATGGATACCTAATTATTTGCGATTAGCTGAAAATCCACTAGAAAGGGTGAAAAGTGTGAAAAATGTATTCAGGTTTTTGCCGATTGATGTTTATAAGTTTGAACTCATCTTCGAAGTCATTATATTGACAAGGGAACACCGCGAACTAACAAATAAGACCAAAGTAACATACGTAATTGTGTAAAGCAGTGTCGATAACCCATTGCCAATTGTTGGTTTTTTTTTTGGCCCTGCCTCCCAAATCGAAAAGTTATATTGCTTCAAAGTTTTCGACTTTCGAATTGGCTGAGTCACCTCATTTTTTAATATAGCGGTAATTGCGACTCTCTTTTACCTTTTTTCCTTTCCTCTTCTTTGTCTATGTCGGTTAAAGAAGGAGAAAAAGAATGGGGGAAAAGGAAAGGGAAAGGCGTCTCTGCCCTCTTTCCTTTTTTTAATCCGCATTAGATGGAGCAGTGGTGGACATTGTTCTTCAATAGGCGGAAAAGAGTATTTTCTCTTTAATAAGAAATGCGAGGGAAACTTTGAAGTTTGATAACTTTTTAATTTCGGGGTCAGTGGTAAAAAAAATTTGCAATAGGTTGTCGACCATGCTCTACACAATGGTGTATGATACATCACAATTTTTGGTTATAATTCGAGGTGTTCCCTTGTCAGTATGCTGACTTCGAAGATAAGTTCTAAGGACCTAATGCATCTAAACTGTACATTCTAATTGTAGTTAGTATCTGGATTTTCATGTTTTGGGTACATGGATACTAAAAACAATAAATATAACAAAATCAAAAATACTTAAATACAGGAAAAAATACAGAAAAAAACACATACAAAAAGAACATATGAATATACTGTCGTAGTTTTATATCAAAGCAGGAGAGCTTGAACAGCGAGGCTATCAGTTTGAAAGAGATCACACATGCAAAATACATACAATAAATGCATTAATAAATACATTAATCAAATACATTATCGCATATACATTTAAAGACATCATACAATATTTCATAAAATCATAACAATGGCTAAGCACGGTTAAAAACATTTACTAAATTACACAAAAAGTATAAATACATATTACAATTAATGTAAAAAACGATACTGCAATGTGTGGAGGGGTAATGCCGGTTTTTTCCTATTAATAAAAATTCACATTTAATGTCTGTGCGAAGGGGTTATGCCCAA